GAGTGCTGGACAGTGAATAAGAAGACCGAAGAAAGGTCGATGCTTTTGAACTGTGGTATTGGCGTAGAATGCTTAAAATACCATGGACTGCTAAAAGAACTAACAAATCTGTCCTGGAAGAAGTGCAGCCAGAATGCTCTTTGAAAATGAGAATGGCCAGATTTCATCTCATTTACCTTGGTCATGTTGTCAGAAAGGACCATTCCCTGGAGAAGGATAATCATGCTTGGTAAAGTGGAGGGTCAACAAAGAAGGGGAAGGCCCTCAACAAGATGGACTGACACATTGGCTGCCAACAACAGGCTAAGGTATAGCAGGGATTGCGGGGCTAGCACAGGACCAGGCAGTGTTTCGTTCTACCATGCATACAGTCGCTATGAGTTGAAGACAACTTGACAGCACCTAAGAACAACAACATGTGTGTGTATATAAATATGGTGATATATTACGTATCAAATACTGTGTTTTACACAGATTCTCATTTAATTTTCCTTATAGTCCTCTGAAGGAGTAATGTTATCATCATTATAATTACAAAGAAGGAGCTCTGGTGGCATAGTGACTAAGGCATTTGACTGCTAACCAGAAGGCTGGCGGTTCAAACCCACCAGCCGCTCCTCGGAAGGAAGACTGGGCAATCTACTTCCTTAGTGATACTGCCTTGGAAACCCAAGAGGGGGTCACTATGAGTCGGGTCTGACTTGACGGCAGTGGTTCTTAATTATACAGATGAGAAAAATGAAGCAAGAAGTGAGTAAATAATTTGTTCAAGTGCAAACAACTACAAGTAGGATTCTACTGCAGGCAGTGTGGTTCCAGAGCCCACACTTTAAACCACTACATTTTACTGAACTATAAAAAAGGATGCTTTGTTTTCCCTGGTATCCAAATGAAAGCAATTCTATTCAATAAGCATTTTATTTCCCAGTATCAAATACAAAAACCTCTAATTGCTGATTAGTTTCTGGGTATCCCAAACATTTTGCTCACTATAAATAACATTTCAATTTGCCGTGAAGTACAAAAAATACTAACTCTACTCACATTTTTATTCTGTTTAGAATATAGATAGACTACACGTTTATAAATAGGAGGCCTAGAAAAAGGAACAGAAGTGGTCACAAGGCCAACTATCTATAATGTATGGTACATGCAGCTATTTTTAATTTTGCTTTAAAAATGTGAACACAGACACACACTCAAAATCTTCAAAGTTCATTAATTACCTTAATCAGGAGATTAAGTATACTATTTGTCAAGAGAAAACAACTTTTCAGGAATTTTTCATTTCATCAGGTTTTAGATCAGTATGAGACAGAATGATAACAAATAAAACAAAGGTATCTAATATGTTACCTACTGGTATAATGCCAAAAATTCTGTCTTTAAGATCAAGTTAGTCTGGTCACAGACCTTTACTCTCCTGCTCCTATGTTAAAGTTTATTCTAAGCTTCATGCAAGACATATGTATCACTTTCCTCTCTCCTTTGCAATCATCTCATCATCTTTGTTAACACTTGACCTCTGAGCACCAATCTCCTTCCTCTTTTTCTTAATAAAACATGATTACTTACAATAAATGATTCTCAATCTTGATTTAGCATTACCTGGGAGCTTAAAAAAAAAACAGCTGATGTTCTGAGGAAGTCCTAGACAATTAAATCAGAATCTCTAGAGGTGGTTTCCAAGCATTGCCTGTTTAGTTAAACTCCAAAGGTGATTCTAATGTATACTCAAGTGGCAGAAAGACAAAGTCAGGAGCCCAAGTTTCTTAACATAAATGGACTTCCTATTCCAATCCCTGCCTAGCATATTATAAGCCTATGACACCAAACTGCTATTAGCTGCCTATCACAGCCTGCAAGTCCATATGCCTTTGTACTTACTATCTCCTCTGTCTAGGAGCTCCACCCATTCCACTACTTCCTTACCTGCCTAATTAATGCCTCCTCCTCATGCTTTAAAGGTTCTGTTCCAGGATCACTTCTCCAAGCAAGCTTTCCTCATTACCCTCCACTTTCACCTAGAAGAAATAAAATAACCCTCTTCTGTACTCTCTTAAAGGAGCTCTGATAGCATAGTGCCTGTGATGGTTATGTTTGTATGTCAACTTGGCTATGCCTAGTGGGGCTAGTGGCTGGGCAGCTGGATGTAGTATTCCCCATGATGAGACTGGTAATCAACTCCATGGTGGAATCTCTACTAAGAGCAGCTGAGTAGCTGTCTTTGGGTATGTGGTCTGCTTCCTGTATATAAGGAGAAGCTTTGAGAATGGTCTCTAGCCTATTGCACGCTTGGACCCTGCATATAGCCATGTTGTTGCTCAGCAGCCTGCTATGCTCTGCCGACCTTGGGACTTACAATGGACTTAAGTCAATGGCCTGCCGTGTGGTAACATCGGGACTGTGCCTTCTTACTTGTCAACCTTGGGGTTTCTCAGCCTCAGCAGCCAGCAGCTGTCTGAGTGAAGAAAAGCCTCTAGCTCCACTGGGTCAGAAGCAGGAGGCAGAGCAGGTCCCCAAAGTTGAAGGGCTTTTACTCAGCCCCTAGAGCCTGGCACTTTGAACTTGGACTTAAAGCCTCCAAATTGTAAGAATAAACTCCTGAGACATCAAGCTCAACAACTGGCATAACATACTACACAAAACACTGTTCCACCTCCTACTGTGGCAAGTAGCAACTGAGATCTTAAAAGCTTGCAAGGTGCCATCTAGATGCAATGATGGGTCTCTCCTCATCCAGAGCCAAGAAGAATGAAGGAAACCAAAAATTCATGGAAACAATTAGTCCTAGCGACTGGTACACCATCCAATTTGCAGCCTATACAACTATGAGACCAGAAGAACTAAATGGTGCCCGGCTACTACTGTCAACCACTTGGAAGAGGATCTATGTAGGAGATCCTGGATAGAGAGGGAGAACAATGTGGAACAAAACTCAAAATCAT